TTTAGAATAGCGTTTCTCCGCCGCGACGCAAAAGCCCAAGCATCTCGCGCTTGCGACGCCACCAAGATAGGATAACAATTTTTATTTCACACACGAAATGGTGTAACTTTAGAAAAAAAACGAGTTTTTTGGTCCAGAGTAGCATTTTAACTTTTTTAAACATGAGAACGCGACGCGAGCGGTTGACCGGTCGTGTCCGCTTGCGTCGCCTCGGCAAGAGAGGTCTCGTGTACTGACCTTCGCACATCGTTCGTTCGCCGTGAAATGTTCGCGCGTCGCAAGCATCAAGTTGCCGGTGATCGCTGCCAAACTGAGTACAATGTCGTCCCGTATTGAAAATTGCAGTCGCGAGGATGCCGCCGACGTCGAACTCACGACGCCGCCAAAACAGCCGCCGACATAATCCTGGAAGCCGCCATTTTTTTTAACTGTGCTCGTCTTGGCTTTAGCCAACTTCTCATCACGAATCCTCCTTGGAGAAGCGCAAAGAATCTTTGCGTACGCCCGCTATTTCCGAGAAATAGCGCACGCTAAAATTGCGCACGCAAAGCGCAAAACCTGGTTTGCGTTCGGAGCATGCGCAGTGGCGACGACGCTATTCTTTGCGTACGCAAAGCTTTAGCGTGCGGTATTCTAAAACTCCCTAATCTCTCCTTCGCTAAACCTGATGACGTAGCTGGGCGGTAGCAGTACCGCCCAGTGACGATATTTGAATACGGCTCATAGATTGGACCCGAGCATTGCGTGGGCACTTGATTTCGGCTCGTGATAATCTATAGCTCGAGAAGCATTCGGGTAGTGTCCTGTGTCCAATCGCTGCAATGACGACAACAGCGAAACCATAACAATGTCTGGAACGCAGCGCGTGTCCTGTGCCATGCCAACTCCAGCGCATGGCTATGATCAACATTGGCGGCATATAATCGGCTCCAGATCACGTGGCCGCTTGTGCTGGCTACGAGTTGAGGGGGTGAACTCTGCTCGTTTTTCTTTATTTTTTTTTCTGCGACTTCGATTGCGTGTGGTGAAAAAGGAACGGGTATTTCACAGGTCATTAACGTCAGGGATCCGTTCTAAGCGGTATTTGCGCAAAATGCAAAAATCGTTGCATCGCCCCTTTAACGCTGGCGGCATAGGATAGGCAGCAGGCCACGAGGCCTTCCTTCTGGCTTCGAGTTGAGGGAACGAACGATGCTCTTATTTCTCGAATTTCTTTGGCGACTGCCATTTCATTGAAAGAAAAACTAAGACCAGTTTATTAACCTACTAACGTGAGAGTGTTATTCTAAGTAGTATTTAGCAAAAGGAGAAAATTTGTTTCATGGCTCCTTTAAGATCGTGTTCCTATCTCAGTATATTACGCCTATTAATTGGAAAAAACGCCTGTTCATGGTTTCTTATTGTGTCAGAAATACTGTGCTAATTGTGCTTAGCTTGGCATGCCCCCCCCCCCCCCCCCCCCCCCCGGTTGGATATTTGGCTGACTCGTTTCCATGAGTCAGGGAATCTGAGCACCGAAAAAGAGGCACCCCAATAACCGTGGGATGCAAATATTGGTATTGAAATAGCGGCGTCTGCTTTGCGCCTAGCAGACGACAAGAAGAGGGTGGTTTCGCAACCTGGGAGAGCAATTCGGTCGCACAGTGAAGGGCGGTAAACGGTGTAGGAGTGGTATTTTATAGTGCCTCTGGTATGTGCCGCTGGGGGTATGGAACGGGAACGGCCACGGCTGCCGTGTTATAGATAAATGTCCGCGATAGCATCTAACGCACCTTTTCAAACGTATTTAATTCAGTGTCAAGGATTAGAAATATATAATTATTTTATAGGGAGTATTCACTGGCGGCCATAGTTGTGTGCGCGAATGCTGAGCGCGTGCTGATGGCGAGCTTCCGCAGTTCTTTTGCAATGTGCATTCCGCACCATCAAGAGTGCCGGTCTTAGCGGCCCATTGATGTGAGCTCGTTCTGAGCATGCGCTCTAAACAGCACCCATAAATATGGCGTCTAGTGAATACTCTCTATAGGCAGGGAGGTATCACTCTCCCAAGTTACATCTATACAAGCTGTTAGATTTTCATTCGAACAGATTTGTTAAAACAAATCTGTGAAAGGTAAACTGATGCAGCTTGTGCAGCTGAGTTTTACGGTCAGGGGGACATAACGTAGGGCGAAAATCTTCACGTGAAGTCAGATAATGAACTAGAATTTATTTGTCTTCTCGATCAGTGTAAATAAAGAAATTGTTCTAATTAAAACCATTCTCAGTGTCATTCAAACGAAATCAGACAATTTTAGAGAAACTTGAAGCATGTCGGTAGCGTGAGGGTGAGCCAAAGTTACCATCGTGCAACAGGCGCAAAGCTAACGGTGCAAAAAAGCGGATGATAACCTGAATATTTTCTTGATTTTATTATATGAATCAGTTCAAATTAAAACCAAAAACCCAGTATATCAGGTGTGTGGTAGACCTAGTGAAAATGATATTTTAATTAAAGGAGTAAAAATATGAATCAATATAAACAACAGTTTTTCGGGAGCACGGTGGTATTGGGTAAACGTTTTACGAAAGAATTCCACATAACGTTCTTTTCGAAAAGTTTATATGCAGTTTGTTCCTAAATGTTCAGAGCCGAGAAAACGCGTTCCTTAAATTCACTTTGTAAAATTCGGCTCTTTGATTGAGAATGTATAAGGTTTCTAAGATTGCCACCAAATGATCAGAGACTCGGGGGGATCTTAAACACTCGAATGACTAAAATATCTAGATGTCCAATTCACTTTACAAAAAAAAAAAAAAAAAAAAAAAAAACTAATGAAAGTGTTTTCTGAGAATAAAAAAACTGGGTGCTGCTAGCAAGGTCCTTGTGAGAGAGGCAGCATTTTTTTTAAATACAAGTTTTAAAATATTTTAGAGAGATTCCAAGTAGAACATCTTTCTTGGGCAAAATATTGTTTGTGTGGCAATTTTGTGGCATTTAAAGCCCCCCTATAGAGCCGAAGTTTAAATTTGGTATTGTTTCACCAGAGTCGGTATTTCGTTCCTAAATTGCCAAACAAGTGCCAAAGGTGGTCTTCTCGGCTTGTTGTTCGTTTGTCAGCTGTCTTTTTTCGCATCGTATCCCGAGGAAATGCCAAAATTAGACTTAGCTTCTGGTCGTTTGGTTTTCACCTGTCAAATATGCGCCTAGATTGCCAAATATGTGTCAGAATTATATTTCACAGTGTTTTTTTATTTGTTAGATACGTGGCATCTTTGGCTGTTGTATATAAATTCGACAACTGTAAGGCCATTTAAAAAATAATATAAAAAAGAACACTTACGCAACCCGTAAGGCGAAACACTACGACAGCTGAGACATGACGTCGGAGCCGTGTTTTAGCAGCAGACGGACTGAACGCGCACGGTGAAGGTGCCAGCGCGCACCATAAATCCGCATAGGCCGTTTCGTATTAAACCGAGTAACACGCCGGACGAGAACACCATACCGTTTTGGAACCAAAAACGGTGTATTAAGTAGAGCATGTCAGCTGTCTGCGTAAGAGGGGAGCGTGTTTTGGCACGTCACTTCGGTACAAATAGTCACACCTTCTTAACTTAAGCGCAGAATGAACAGGGACAAAAAAATAGACGAGACGAAGTGCTTGTTTCGGCTAATTCTGAGTGGAAACTTATCCCAGTTCACTGCCAGATCGCCCGGCGGGGATTGTTTTACCGACCATGCATGTTATTAAGGCAAAAGTCTTGTATGTCCCTTTACGGGAAAAGGCGTCGGCGTTGTGCCCGAAAGATGGCCATAATATGCGTCAATAAGCACGCGCTGCTCAAGGTCAAAGCAGACGCGCTTCTGAAATAAAACACAAAGAAAAGCACAGCAACGCAGATGCTTCGTCACGGAAACCGTGAAGCCGGCGGGGGCGCCGCGCCGCCCAGTGGGGGAGCGTGGTGTCACCGCCGGGATTGCCGTGCGCGAGAGGTGCGCTTCGCTCTCCATCTGTGCTCGTTGTGTGCTTCGTGCGATGGACTGTGAGGCGACCGCGCGGGAGTATAATTCTTTCACATTCCTACACGTAAGCAGTCTTATAGTGTCCTCCTGTAATTTTCTTGCCACCTTGCATGACCAAGCAGGTTAAATATCATGCTTGCTATCTTATCAGTGGCGCGTGGAATGTTTTTGGCAGGGTGCCGAAAATGGCCCGCATCGATATGAAGCGCCGTCGAGGACGGGAAACCGCGTTGTGTCCCACTAACAGCTATCGCTGTAAATCGCTGTAATATCGCTGTAAAAAAGCGAAAATAACTTTGACACTATCACTTTGGTGTCAAACCTTATTAGGCCGAATTTAGGCACACAGGATTGTCAAACTCGGTTTAAGTTCTGCATTTATTTATCTAGTGTGCTTCCAAGGATTCTAGCTACCATCCTAAATAATTTTGATGTTAAATGGAAATTTTTAGATTGCCTAGCAAAACACCATACTAAGTTGGTTAAAAATGGTACGTTCTACGCTCTTCTTTTGTTTCGGCCTAAAACAAAAAGAAAATCAATTGACAACGCGTCTCTTCTAATTACGGGTTACAAGCACGAGGCTTTCTTTTTGGGCTGTAGAAAAGCACAGCAATCGTGTCGTGCTGCAATCCTTCAATCGGGCCTTTTCAGAGCTTTTCAGAGCGCTCTATAGCTTTCCGATTGATGGGACAACCATTGAAAATATTATTCAGAGAGTTAACTAATTAATCATAATAATGATTAAACTAGGCCCACTCAACAAAGTACAGGTTCCTTCGCAAGACGATTGGTAACAAAATACGGCTGGTGTCGTTCGCGTAAGCGAGTTTTTTTATTTAAGCTTTCGCGTAACTTAATTGACACATGGTGTATAAGAATTTCATGTTTTTAAGCTATTTTTCATGGCCAAAACAGTCAAGGTGTACTTACTACCTAGTATATTGAGAAAGATGTCAACCTCAATCGAACATTCGACGTTTTTTTTTTATAGGTTCAACATCCCTTATCGTGAAGTGAAGGGATTCACCAGGCTAGGCGTGCGTGTCCTGAGATTTCCATACCAGGTGCCCGACCGCGCAAGATGTAAACATTGCAACTGCATTCCGAAAAGAATATATCACCTTCTGTGCCCTCACCATGGCCTCTGTTTTGACTGCAAAAAACATTGCAATGGATATTATTGCGATGAATGTTGTGTAAACACAGCGCCTGAACAAGTAAGCAGATTTGAATATTGTTGAAAGAGCGAGAGGGGAAGGGCAAGTTTATGACGAGGACTAAAACTGGTTTATTTCTACAGAAGAACCGTTGTGTAACTTTGTTAATTAATATATTTCGCCAAGATTGTCTTCACCTGGAGCCTTTCCAAGAATCCTTACTCCACGTCCTAATTTTGATGAAGTAACGTAAAATTTGAGCGCAGCTCTTAGGCGCCCACTTCCGGCTTGAGCGGCGTCGCCGTATGCGTTTCCGGCTTTAGCGGCATCGCCATGATGCAACGCGCGTTGCATCATGGGACGTTTCTCATAACGGCATCACTTGTGACGTCACGGTGGTCACGAGTGACGTCACCGTGTGACATCACCCTCGTGACATCACACGGCGTATAAAGTTGGCGAAACATTTTTCCACTAAACTTAGCGGAGAAATTTCCTGTTTACATTTAGCGGGAAATCTTGCGTCTAAATTTTTCGAAATGTTTCCGTGAAATCTAGCAAGCAATTGCTTTCCGCCAAGTTTAGCGGGCAATTTTTTGTGCTAAATTTAGCAGGAAAATTTCTCCATAAATTTTTGCCGCTAAATTTAGCGGAAAACGTTTCCCGCGAAATTAAACGGAAAATTTAGTGGAGCAATTTTTAGCGGGGGAATTTACCATGAAATTCTCCCACAATTTCTCAGTGAATTCTCCTCCGTACTTTTCCTTGTTCCACCTCAAGAGCTGCGCTCTAATTCGGCATTACAGAGAATGGTAAACGTCTTTTATTTTTTGAAATTAAAATTAAAGACAGGTGGGCAAAATATTTGTGGTTTCTGTGAAAAAATTAAACCATTAGTTTTTTTTCTGAGCAGATATGGTAAAACATTGAAAAATCCCAGTTTTGAACGCATTGGAACTTGGAACGATGATCTAGTTGTTCTTTTAGTAGCTATGTTTTCCCATTCTTTTTGGCTGCGTTTGCCAGTTAAGGTAGGCTCTAGATAATAATGTTCAAAATACATTATGTTATTTGTTTATTTATGCTTTGCGAAATGTGCAGTTATAAAATAAACCTGATATATAAAGCGAGTTAAATAACATGAAATGATAGTCACTACTTTTGCGTCCTTACCATTTATAGTACGTTTAGTTTCCTCCTGAAATACAAGTAAAGGTATAGGTAAATTCAGCCCCATGCTCGAGGTGGCGTTAGTGGGACGTCGGAAAGAGGCAGTGTAACTTTGTTCTTCCTACATGCATCAGCGTGAGGAGCGGTCGGTTGCTCTGGCTGCTAGAAAGCTTTCCAAATACAGTAGTAAGTGATCGTGATCCAGTTTTTTTTAGTAAGCAATGCAAAAATACGCAACGCCTGATGATAACAGTTGTCTAACAAGAGTGAATCGAGGGCTCTGGTAGATTACAAACAAAAACGTTTGAATATAATATAGACATGAGCAGGGATGGGCAAAATACATGCAAATATGTATCGAAATACAAATAGAAAATACTTCGTCAAAAATGTATTTAATTACAAATCTCATTACATTTTCAAAAAAGCATTTAAGTACAAGATACAAATACAACCAAATGTATTTGGTCCCCTCCAAATACTTTTCCAAATACAGTCCTCAAAATTTGCGTCAGCGACTTCAGGGCACCTGCAACGGGTTTCTGGGTATCTCATTTTAATTTTGCGTCGCACACTCGGGAGTTAATGTGCGAGGCTCTAGTAACGTAATAGAAATATAATCACAAAAAAATTTAATAAGCTTGGACATAATAGGTGAAAAAAGTAGAGCTTCAAGCAGCTTTTTTTGTCGATTAGATTTTGGTATAGACCAGCAAAGAACCGAGACGACCAAGACGCGCAGCACTAGCTAGAAACATTTTTATTGTTGCAACTCGCACCAGTTACGAAAATCTAGACGACCCGTGCATTTAGAATGTTCCAGGCAAAAATATGGAAGGGAAATCAGGCTGGAAAGCATCACCACTTGTCACAGCCACTTATTTAGCCAGCCTGCCTGTGAACGTCGATTTCGTCACTATTCTTGCCCTGGACTAGCACCGTAATCACAAAGTCGCTAAACGCTTGTGCTTGATTGAGAAACACTGCATTCAATGCAGAACGTAGTTCTCTTCCTGTTCTGGACAGTGTCAATAAATTTGAGGGATGTACTTTCGCCCACAAAATTGTATTTAATTACAATTGTATTTGAAATACCCACGTTTTAGTATTTAAATACACACATGAAATAAATTACCCAACTTTTAATTAAATAGAAATGCAAAATACACGAAGTATTTGAAATACGTATTTCAAATACATGTATTTGAAATACTGCCCATCCCTGGACATGAGTATAAACATAATGCCATAAACCACATTATAGCCTTTATCCAGCACAAAGAACGTTCCCATAAAATGATTATTTAAAGTTATGTTTACTTCCGCGAGCTTTTAGGGAGAGGAATATGCTGCACAAATTTGCTTGAATATATATTCAGATTAACCAATCGGGAGAATCGTGTTTTCGCCTGCACTGATTGACGTATTGCTCAGTTTGTTATGTTGAAATGTCAAACTTTCTTTTAACAACCGCACGTTTTATTCAAATTGTCCTTGATTACTGTAGATGTAAGTATTTGCTCACGTTTTATCTTGTCATCTATATTTCTAAGCGTGATCTACTGGGTGTACCAAGGGGAGGCCAGGCTCTTTAAATCGACCGCGAAATTTAGTTTTCTTAACCTATCGCGCTGCTATTTTCTGCAGCGCTGCCCACAGATGGTGCATTTGTTTTGTGAAATTTGCAAAGAGCGAACTTACCTGAGCAAAAAGTAAAGAAAGAAAAAGGCTTAGCTCATATAGAAACGCAGCGACGCCACAGGTCTTCAAACAACACGGCGCCGTTTCGCACGGGAGACAAGAGGTGGCGCAAGCGGTCACGACGGCAATTGCCAGCAATTGCCGCCAACGAACGAGCATACGACGCTGAGAACCGGCGTCTTTAGCAGACAAGAAACTGCAGTTCCTTGTTGTTACCGCGCCTGTTTTTGTTTCTGCGACTGTCGCCGCCTGGGGAATGCGCGCCGCTTTTGAGTCGAAAAGATCGTCTGCTATAAACGCCGGCTCTCGGCGCCTTATGCTCGTTCGTTGGCGGCGTTCGTTGAGCCATCTATTGTCTGCTGTGCGAAACGGCGCCGTGTTGTTTGAAGACCGGTGGCGTCGCTGCGTTTCCATAGGAGCTAAGCCTTTTTATTTCTTTACTTTTTCCTCAGGTACGTTCGCTCTTTGCAAATTTTACAAAAAAAAAAAAAAAAAAGCACCATCTGTGGGCAACGCTGCACAAAAACGTAGCGCGATGGGTTAAGAAACCGAATTTTGCGGTCCATTTAAAGAGCCTGGCCTCCCCTTGATACACCCAGTATGTTGCAGGTGTGTCATTTTGAAGGTATAATTTGTTTAACTGGCATTTTAATCTATCTATAATGGAGCATTTTGACTTGCGGCAGTATTAATGAACCAATAAAATTATTTTCAGCTTGGCGCAATCTGTTCTGATTTCAACCTTCCGGGTATACTTCAGCAAGTCCAATGTGACGTATGCCACAAGGTGCTTCTCCTTGGAGAGCTGGAGGTAGGTAAATATCAAACAGTGCGTTGTAACTCTATGGCGCGTCATGCTAATGACAGATATAAAATAACTGCGCTGCTAACTTGGCGAGTAGCGTCAGTGTTCGTCCAAAACTTGAAAATTGTGCCACATTTGAAAAAAAAAATACAAAAAAAAAACAAGCGCCTAAGCCCTATGGGTTATCCTACTCTTGCGAACTTCTGGCTGGTGGCTGAATATTGAGTTGCCATTTTCTAAACTGGTATACTGTGAACAAGAACAAAACAATAAATGTTCCTTAAAATTATTTGCCAATACAAGGACCCAATCGCCTTTAGACAGTTTGTTGATGGTACTTATCAAAGTGATAAAACACAATTATCCCCTTTTACATATAAGAGGATGAGTTTCTCCTATTGCCAACTCCCCCCCCCCCCCCTTTTCTTGCTGGATGCTACAAGCCAGTGTCCAAGGTTAGGGGCAAGGGACAGCTATTGTTGTGAAGTAGTCACGTTTCGTCACATAGACTTTGTAAATTTTTTGCAATCTTGGGACACATACACTAATATTCAGCCTATACATAAGCTTGAGCAGTTGCTGTAAATCAGTTAGATCATTCATGTGCCTTGTTTCTAACGTTACAATGTAATTTAAACATAACTTGTCAACCATTTAGCTGAATCAGAAACATACCAAACAGCTATTAAAGCTCTCTAACAAAAAACAAAAAAGAGCAGTGGTACAGCATGGTCTCCTATTACTTACTCACCTGCCCTTCGGTCAGTCTCCATACAAAGCTGAGTATAATCATGAAACACGACCATGACTTCGAAATATATTCTAGCATCTCAATAACACTGTTTGCAACGCATCCATTTGAAATCTCGAATTTTTTAGGAACACCTCTTTGAGCACACTAATCAGGGTGACGTGGAGTGTTCGAAAGTTCAAGAAACGACAAATCAGGTAAGCGGTAATTTGAGATATGTTGACATATTAGAGTAAAATAATACAGTTAAAGGTTCTTGGCACTGGTTTAACGGACTGCCGCTCAGACTACAACGGCTTGAAATTCTCTTCATTTCTAGGACCGCAGCAATAGAAGTTCGGGAAACTAGAATTGCCATAAGGCATGCCCAAACCCTGGACGCGGAGCTCTGTTTGGACATAACACATTTGAATTTTAAATTGTAATGCGCCAAAACTACTCCTTAGTTTGAAAACTACAATAGATATGGAATTGGATCTATCAAAGGAATTTGATAATAAATACTGAAGATGAAAAAAAAACTAGCATTCTACATTTCTAGAACCATTTAACGAGAGTATTGAAGCTAATATCTTAAACAACACATCTTCAAAATAAAGCAATACTAGAAATTGGAGTAAAAGAACTCAACAGTAACAACAGAAAATGTGGAAAACAACGTACAAAACAAAAACAAAAATACGCTTTTGGTTTTCCGAGGTGCCTTGTCTTTAAGCACATCGTCTTTCAGAAAAATGAATATATAGTTTTATGATCCCGTTAAAAAGTTAACATGTAAATGTGCGTAATGTTTATTGTGTATACACGCAAAGATCAAGAAAATAGAAAATGCTAAAAACCTTTAGCAAGTACAATAAGCGGCATTACACCGGTGAGCAATCGCCACCCCACCACGTTCTTTGTGCAATACCTATGTTCACTTTCCCCCTCTTGCGTACAAAAATTAGTGTTAGTACACTTAGCATGGAGGTCGATATCTTGGATAGCAAAAGTTCATTTAAACATGCCCAAAACATTCAGTTTTATTAAGGTCCGTATTTTTTGTGCTTGTGTCATTTTGTTGCTTTAGTATGCTTTAAGAGAGTATCTGTGTGTACCAGCACTTCGGCTTCGGCGGTTACTGGACACAAGAAGAAAAAATAATACGTAATATTTTAAATGGGTGACGCTTTAAGCGTGGAGTGCCATTTCACTATGAATATATTACTTGGTCTTTATAATTTCGTATTAAAAAGATGCATCCCGATGAATTGCAAAAGTTTCTTTGGGAAACAAATAAAATTAGTCGGATGACTCTTTTCTTTTTGTGTCCAGGGAACATCTGTATCAGAAAACAAGTTAAATATATATTTTGGCTACTGTATTTTTTTTAGGTTTTTAGTTTGTATTATCTCAGTCGGTTCTTCGATGCCCAGTTTCTCATGTATCCTTCAGAGCTGAAATCTCTCTGCATACAAACCCAGTAATCGGGACGCCAATACAAAGAACCTGAAACTCTAGATGAGTCTTGCACACGTTTCTCGAAAAAAAGTAACTGATGGCGGTTACCATTACCCTTAGTTAAAAAAAGCAATTGGCAGTTGCTTGAATAGTAACTGGAGTTACTTTTCCGATGGCTTCAATTTTTCAAAATAACACATTTTTCTGCCGGTTTGATAAGGTTGTTCCGTGATGTCCATTATTAGATTAGAATCACCAAGTCACAAGAACACTGTTCTAGAAGGCGTTTAGGGGCAATAGTGGCGCACCCTCCGTGAGGCCTTCGAAGCGGATGCCGCCTTGTGGCGCTGGTGTAGTTTCCCTGAGCAGTCGAGCTGGCAAGATGGGGCGGCTTCTACTCGCTATCTAGTGATGTTACGTCCTATCTAGAGATCTGTTTAAGACAGCACACCATTTTATACACCGGTTCATAAGCTCTGCGGTCGTCAGACTGAACGAAAGAGTATTTCAAATGCTTGGAAGGTGTCATGTAGCGGCGATGAGTTTCTTTCTGTTTAACACGGCACAAGTGATAAGCTTGAAACTACACGCCTATGCCGCTACAAGAAAAGTAAACTATAGGCCATTGCTCAGTCAGCTCACTATTCAACAAAATGTAGCTCTAGAGATTCGGATATTGTGTTATGATTCAGAACTGGGATTTATGAGTTATGACTACTCTCCAAAAACTATCAATGAAAAAATAACCCGTTCCTAGAAGCGGACGCTATTCACGCTTATACATTTTGGAAGCTTATACGCTCAGTTATAAAATCAGATCCCAACAGTTAGCTTTTCATTTCGACGTAGATTCGGGTTCGGTGATGCGCAGTTTATTACTGAGGCGAGAAAAAGATGCTTGGTATTTCTCTTCAGTTTATATCTGCTCGATAAATGAAAAGTTCTGATCCACCAAAATTATTTCAGTGTCATGTTTTTACTAGCAGACTGGTTTGGAAGTTGGGGAGATAAATGCAAGCTCGGCCTGGTTTACTTAGCTGCTCACTGTTCATATATGCGGAAGTTTCTTAACGTTTGTGTTCTTCAATTCTTGATATTCCACTGATCTATAGCCGTTACTCCCAATAAAAACACCTCCTCATTTTGTTTGTCATAGCAAAAAAAAAAAAAAATCCCTTACATGCTGTTTAACACAATAGTAACACAACAGGGTGAATAATAAAAATCAAGAAAATTTAAATCTTGATTTAAATAATTATTTAACTCTCCGAAATTTGGCTATAGAAATTTGAGTCGCTCCGATTTTGCTATAATCAACTAAATCAATCACTTTTTCACAAAACATTACTGAACACGTTTTTATTTACCGTTGTCATCAATGCGCTTCCCATCCGTGTTTATTTATTCACGAATTGTTTTACTGGCAGAGCAGTAAATAGTTATATAACGCCGCCATTAAAAATAGAGATCTAATGATAAAAAATTCAATAATTTTGAGCTGAAAATATTTATTTCACGAAAGCTTCATTTTCAAAAAATCTGATTCATTTGATTAAAAATGATTCTTTCCTCTTTTCCACCATCACTTCAAATAACATTTATTTCAACTTAAAAATTAATGATGTTAAGAACACGACCAAGTAAATGAAAAAGGAAACTCTGCCTCATGGTAATAGCAAAAACAAAAACTATCTTGAAAACATGGCACTCAGAGCTGCTCCGACTTATGCATCCTAAAATCAAACGAAGCGAAAAAAAAAGTTACGTGAGGCGTACGCCATGACAATACACACAAAAAGGCACGACGAACACGTTCACGTGGAATCATTAAGGGAAATAATACAATTAGGTGCACAGCAGAAGAGGGCATGGCACAATTACAAAAGTAGAACTTACTAAAAGTACTGAAAGTAAAAAGATGCTTCTGATGGCAAAACTGAACAAAAAAGCTATGCGGACCGACTGTTGAAGCTTCACGTATTTGCCGCTTTATGCTTCTGTACTGTGGCGCGATTGTGTGACTTAAAAAAAAATTCAACCTAGTGGCAACAAAAGTGCTATCACTTCCGGAGCTAATGCTTTGGGGTGATCAGCCCATCTAACCTTTTGGAGAAGCTGCTAAAGCGGTTTCCGCCAAGAGCACCCGATGGATGTTAACGCAAGAGGAAGCAACCGATATAGCCGTTTCCTCCTCCAGTTGTCGACTACAGCGCCACAGGCAGCCATCCGTTTTTTTTTTTGGCACAGCACTTTTTGTTGACGTTGGCCTCGTTTGCGGTCACTACTCCCCATTCTACATTCCAGAACACTGTATTATAAACAACCTATATTCTTAATCCACTAATGTTGGTAAACCGTTCTTTTTTCGGAGACTTGGTTTGAGGGTTTCTAGGTAGAAAACTTTACAGAGGGCGCCGTAGAAAAAGGAAGGAGAATGCAACAGTTACAAGTAATTTTAGTGCTTTCAAAATTAATCAATTGCTCTTCTGAATACTTCCTTATGTATTCCACAAATCACAAAATCACTCTTAGAAAGTAATTGAATACAAGTAATTTGATTACTTGTAAGGGTTACCGTGCAAGTCTGCTCTAGGTTAACTTTTAATTCTCTTAAAGAAGCCTATATGCGAGATAATGCCGTTAAATATGCTTTAGCAAAACTTATTCTTAAGGTTCACTGGTGCGGTGGAATGTCCGTACGCGGAAATTGAAATTTGTGCAAAACACGAATCATTTGCAAACGTTTTTACGTTCATTGCGCTGGGAATTGTTTAGAGGAAGGTTTTATATGTGAAACAGCTGGTGGCATTTTGTTCTGCGAAAAACATTTTTTAGTTTTGTTTAGCACAATAAAACAAGATTGATCTCCTTTTATGAGACATGTTTCTTTGAAGTTCCACGCTAAATGAAGGTCTAATTTATTTTAGCATGAGGATGTATCGGAAAAGCCACTGCGATTTTCGGATGTTGTCAGTGTAAGATGCGACATCTGCAACGAGATTGTCAAGAACAGCGACTACGTAGTGAGTATCTGGTCATAACAACGATTGAAAAGGTTACGGTATCCTGAATAATATCCGAATTTAATTCTCGTAGACAAGAGATTGTCGAGAAGGTCCGCTGGGTATCCCTGCATTCCAAACACCCCCGAAGGTTCCATGCTTTCAGTGTCTACTACCAAGTCCTGGAATATAATGCTGAAACTGAATCTTTTAGTACTTGAAAGAGGTTCCACACATACTACTACGGTTCTGCTGGGATGCTGGTAAACAGCGATTTTTGACTCACTTTAACTTTTAAAGAAACTCGGTTATCCGCAACCTCACATACATCGCGGCGAAGCCTACACTTTGTTTCACTTTACGTGGGTGTAGCACAGCATCTTATACACATTTGACTAAAAAAATGGGAGAGGGCGTTTATGTTATGAGCCATTTTTAACTATTAAAAACTTCTGAAATGTGCCTGATCATCATAGGCTTTACAGTTGCAAAGAAAAAGGCTGTGAACTTTAGAATACATGGCAGCGCTCGAAGATGATGACAAAGAGGAGGAGAACTGGACACCACTGTTGCTCACGGTGTGTCCAGTTCTTTTCTTCTACTCTTGTGGTACGTAGCTTGTACTTTAACATTCAACACCAACTGGCCTATAAGCAAAAGAAATAATTTGTTAAACATTTGCAATATGTTAATTGCATTAACTATAGACAAGTTATTAATTATATTTGTTAAAAGCAAGAGGAGGCAAACTTCCAAATTGTTAACTTTTTTTTATAATTTTAAGTGTTTTGCCTATGACAAGCAACGCAGATGTTCGAACTATTATCCAAGGCATCTCACGTTTCAAATTTGAAGTACTTTGAATCGCATAGAATATGGGGTTTTTCGCAATATTGAGTATTATACTGAAATGCACCTATAGATACATTAGAGATGTGACTAAATCAGCTGCATAATTCGTATTCAACATGTAAAGTATTGTAGTGTGTTTTTAAACACGACTACTCAGCCAAGTGCCAGAATGCAAAGCAAGAGGCAGTTCGTGTCAGTAAGTCAAAATCATGAAGAATGCACGTATATAATGTACGATGTGTTACTGCGCATTTCCTGCGCTTTGGGCAGTGGTCAGGAGAAGCAAAACTAGTCTTGAACTACCATGATGACATTTTCAGATCATGTAGCATATCGGCGATTTAATATGCAAATTGTATGCAAACTGTTCTGAATTTTAATTAACCATTCATTTTGAATATATCAGGCCTAATCAGAAAGGTTTCTTGGGATGTCATATATTTATATAACTAAATAAACTTGTCCCGTACCTTCGCAAAAGGAGTAAAATGCCATGCTGCTCCATACTTTCTGAAGCACATTTTTCTTAACGTTAACAAACTGTTTAACCTAAATCTTTCAATTTATATACTAAATGACAAAATTTGTCACCAAATTACTTTCTATATATACATTCAATGTAGTACTCAATAAATTTAAAACATAGGTTTTACGTATATCACTGCTAAGGAAAGCCTGTGGAAACCAGAAATTGACATACTTAATACCGAATTCTTTAAACAATAAACCGGATATGTTGAGAATTTTACGAAATAAGGTATCACTTAACAGCTTGAAAATATGTAAAACTGTATCTTTAGTTCTGCTCTACGGAATAAATTTGGTTTTCGAAATTATATCTCCATTCCATATATTTGGTTTATCGTTGCGAATACAAATTTCTAATAATAACTTTGCGATTTATTTTTAATGTAGCCACTTTTTTTTAATGTAGACACGAATTTTAGTGTCGGGGCCAGATAGTTCACCCCCGTAAGGTCAAGGGCCGACGAAGGACCAAGGGGGGGGGGGGGGGGCGCTTTATTTAGGCAAATGAGAAAAAATACAGCAGTGGTATTTACGTTGTAAATTAGCCGAGCTTTTCACGGATATATACGAGATTTCCTTGAGATGGGACCTCGTGCATTTTTTCGTAAACTCCCTATTTTAGCGGTGGCATCCTTAGCTTCGATTTCTTTGTAAGACTAGTGTTGGTTGGCCCATCCCCGATGCAATAACAAACTTTAAACTACACCGCGCCGCGTGCGTGCTAGATATTTTTAATAAAAAAAAGAGGATATGCACACTGTCGTTCATGTGTCGCCCAATTGTCTCATGAATTAGCCAGATCCAACATGCCTCGAAGGAAACAACAACACTTCACACGAGATTTTTCTTGGCCGACAATTTCTACAGCAGAATTATATAAAAAAGAAAAATTCCTGCCCTTTAATGGTATTTTTTGACTACTAAAAACTTGAGCTTAGATTTTTTTTATAGTTACTACTGCTGAGCAAGAATTCGTGCAGTCAAGTTGCATCCTGTCTTGCTGGATAGTACCAGTGGCATTCCAAAATAAAATAAAATAGAGAAATATGTGAATGCCTTATAAGAAGTTGAGCTACATGTTTCCAGACTAAACAAACCGACGACATGAGACCGTTATCTGTGACGGATATAGCGCTCGAAAGATGGGAATGGGGTTTCGCAGCCGCCTGATGCTCGGGAGCCGTGTCCCAGCGAGTCACGGACCGCGTGTTTGAGAGCCATATTATTACATATCAAAGTATTTTTTGTGGATATAATAATGTTAATCATTATACTGGTTTCTGCCGATGTTTTCTTATTGCGTTTTAATACTCGTGTCTTCCATTGTCTGCTGACGTAGTTTACAGGGGTGCCCGTCTCGTCAGGCAGAGTGTGCTTGGCAATTTGTCCTTTCCCTCGAAATATTTGTGTAAAAAGAAAAAAAGAAAAACACCAAGCTACGCGGGCAGTTGAAATCTTGAATCTTTCAGGAACATTTGAAGAGGCATACTCAAGAGCGGAACAATCAATGCGATCCAATAGTTCAAGAGACGCCGAATCAGGTAAATGGTTATTTAAGCTACGTCTACATATTATAGGTAAAACTAATGGCATCAAGGAAAGTTGTTATCAAGAGATCAAAGTGCTGCCTTGCAAATTGTGACATCTTGAAAACGTGTGCATTTGTAGGACACCGCTATGGAATTCGAAGAAACCGGGAGTGACGAGACGCACCCCCACACCGACTACAAGGAGCACAGTTTAGACGGGGTATGCAACGTGACCTTGGAATACAAAAATGCAGTACGTCAAAAATTTATTCTCACGAAGCGATGCGACAATCTGAAAAATTGAAAATGAGGAAGAGATTGTCAGCTACCTCACGCTCTAGACAATTTAATATTTTAAACATTGTGTCGTTTCAATTTTATCTTAATCACTTTATTATTTTTTTCTCAAAACGTGCGGTTGAGGTGTTGAAGGACCTCAACAGACATATGGGCATTCTTGCATACACCGACTTCATTACAGGCATTATGCATCGTTTCCTGTCCTAACCATTGGTTGTTTTGAAGTGTTATTTTTTACGGTGTTTTGTTGGTATTTATTTACTATTACTGTGAGTCGTTACATCCCCACTACTTCAATGGCCTCAAATGAGGTTGACTATGCGGAAATAAAAAAATAAAACAAATACTAAGTAATATTCCAACGAGACTAGTGTAAAATTTAAGTTACATACCTACGAAACAAAACAATGAAAACCGGGGACTGTGGAACGCAACAAGATCGGACGCAAACAGGCAGGAATAAGGTACAAAACAAAAACAAGTCTCGCTTATCTTTACGAATATTCACCCTATAAGCGATTCGTCGTTGTCAACATTAGTGGACACGGTATTTATAATTTTGTTAAAACCAATAGACATGTGCTCCTGCGAAACTTGTGTTGAATACACATACCTGTAAATAAAATATAAGGTAAGAAAATTCTTAAAACAAGTAAAATAAGTTGATTAAATTTATCGATGACTATTTGTTTGGAGGTAGTGATCTGAAATTAGACTCCTATTTCACTCCTTAATATATTTTGATATGACTTGGTATCACTCATTGATATCACTTACTGCTTGAAAAAAAACAACAACAATTGGTCTCGTGAGTAAGCCTACATGGCATTGAAGCAATAGTTAATTGATGTGTACCAAAACGGCTTCAAAAAATTAAGTTGTTTGTTTCGTTTTATATTTCTAAATTGCGTTGCCGTAGTGAGTAGTCTATCCAGAGCTCCTCACGCGTGTTCCGCAACGAAAATCTCGATGCCTTGTGATATCAACTCAATAATTGAATCATAAATGCAAACGAACATAAGATTTTTCACCCTTAAAATAAAAAAAAAACGCGCGTTCTTTTGTAGGTACTCCAAGAATTGATGCAGAAAAAGTATAAATTTATATTAGTGTAAAATGGTGTCTCTGAAGCTACCGGGAGTTTTCGTCACAGTTGATGAAAAAATTGTGCCAGTCATCACCAGCAGTATTTTCTGAAGGTGTCCGAATCTCCCATGTACAAGGATAACGCCAAGAAAATATGTTGTATGAGCTCATCATAACGAGCGAAACAGTTGCTGTGTAGAGCACATTATGGCAACCGAATATTTTTCGTATACAAAGATTGGTGGTAGCAGTTGTTGACTGTTTCTTTATTTCAAACATAGTCGGAATTTTTTTTAAACGTTTTTACACGCTTTCTTTCATGAAAGTGATATATATATATCTTAAAGGGGCCCGGCAATCCTATTTAAGCGTCTACCTTTTTTGCGGTTTTTACGTCTCTTGGGGTTCGGGCAAGCCAGTGGGCACGGAGAGAGTAATTAAATATGAGTGCGTCATATTCTAACCGGACGACGCGGAAACCTCCTCCAACTACGGGGGTTACCCGCGGTGCCGAAAGCGCGCAATATGTAACGTCTTCTGTCCTGGGCTTACTACTGGCCAGAGCCGCTAAAAGCTTCTACTTAGTTAAAATACAAAATATAGGTCGCCTGCCCAAACCGTTTCAATTATCTATAAAACTAGTTTTTGTTCACTATTTTCGATAAAAAAAATAGACGAATGCAGATTGTAAAGTACGAAAACAAGAAATGACCCGTCGACATACCCCTAAGAGTAATTGTGACACTTTGTCAAACACTTTGGTAATATAAAAGGATATTGCATCAACCTGCCCCTTATTTCGTGACAAATGTCAGGTTACTAATTGAGCGTCTCAAAAGCGTATCACAATTTACCTTTAGTTTGGAAGTTATTTTTTATGACAGAAAAATACACGAATAAAGCATATCGGAGCAGCAGAGATAAGTTAATATGGTAACACTGGAGCAAGGAGTTTAATGCTCAGGATTAATATAAGTCTAAAACCAGATAGGTTGCAGTCTCGCTTTGGATATAAAAAGATTGTGAAGACAATACAAAGTAAAAAATGTATACCAACAATTCTGTGTACAAAAATACGTGGAGCTTGAACTATGGCACGAAAATCGTTCTTCAAGGACGCAAGATTAGTTTTTTTAATCACCCCTGTGGGAAGCACGTTTCATGAAGTCCAGTTTGGAATTGAATTCGTAGATCATTGTTTATTCTTTTCTAGGAACACTGCGAAAAATGCGATGAAGACCCAGTTATCTGCTCTCGCTGCCGCTTATTTGTGCAACGGAACAACATGCAAAAACACATTTCGCTGTCATGTCCAGAACGTACAATTTACTGCAAGCGTTGCCACTCTTCATTTCCCATTTCGATGGAGGAGGTAGAAAGCAAAACTTATTAATCATTGAAATAACACATTAATCTTTATGGTACTGTATTTTAAATTTGTTTGTTGAAATTGAAAAATTCGAAGTTACATGAACTTCGAAATTGGATGAGTGCATTTAGACACACGTTTTTATTGTAACAAGCTGTTTTTTTTTTAATTTTTAGTAGGACCCCAAAGATTTTTGTATGATTATATCACTCTACAACAAGAACCGAAGTGTTATTCAAAGAGGTCTTAAAAAAGTCAAGAAGTAGCAGTACGTATATCGGCTAATGTACATTTTACGCAATTTTGGAATTCATGAAATAACTCCGAGACGTCGTCAGAAAAATAATTACATGAAGATCCCAGACGTCTGCCGTAACTATATGTTTGCGAGAAGAGTTTTCTTTTTCTCTCAACCATTCTTTTTCTAGAGATTTTTAAAAGTATTCCCCAAAACACTGGGTATTTTTTTTTCTGATGGTCTACAAAACTGCCGTGATTTTATCGTCTGTTTCCAGATTGTAACTTACACTGGCTTTTATTTTTTAATACTCATCACCAGTGTATGCGCAAGTGTATGCTTTTTCCCAGACACACATGTCTCAGTGTCCGAAGATGGAAATGGAATGTTCGGACTGCGGTGTCAACGTTCTCAACGAAAACCTACAACATCATCTAGACACGGAGTGCCAGAAGCGAGGGGTTCTTTGTGGCGACTGCGACAGTATACACTCCGTGCGACGCGACTGGCGCGCCGCCGCGCGGCCGGTACCGAAGGTGGGCAGTGAGAACTCCAGAGAAAACGAAACCGAAACCACGCCGCGTACGTTGGTACGCATTAAAGTCGGAGTGGTGCGATTGCGCTGGGTTCACAGCATGAAGTGCTGCCTGTGCTGCGTCATTAAGTTCTTCAATAGTTATACGTCGTATCTCGTGGAGACAAAGTTTCACAGTTTTTCACCTCGCCGATGTTTTGTGGGGCAGCGACAACGATAAAGCCGTGCCGTACGACGCGAGAAATTTGGTGTCCCGATCATGTCTGCCACTGTGTCGGCACGGCTGACATATTCTACACTGCCGCTTTGCGCTCTGCGTTTGTTTTCGTACCAGTAACGCCTACATGTGTCAGCGCCGATGGGACGAACTGAAATGCCATCCCACACTCGCGGGTATGCTGTGCCAATCTCGTTGGAGGAATGCCCTCCAAACAAGTTTCGTCCCCATCGTACGTGTCGATGATATTTCCGGACAAGTATGGCACGCAATCTGTACTTCATGAAGAAAGATTCGAAGAGTAAAAAAAAGTGACAAATATAAATCTAAAGAAAACAATAATGAAACTCGGAATCACTGGAGAATCGGCGTTTGAGTGTGGAAGTTTATGTGGTGTGCTTTCTTTCTTGATCAGCCTCCTTCTAGATGTGGAAACGCTGACACCCCGAGTTCTGTAGACATTTTTGTTTCTTTCTCGGCTTTAGAGCCACCCATCGCAAAGTGGTTCGAACTGGAAGTACCGTCCACTGGTCCCTTCCTACCAATAAAGTGTGCACCTCCCACGATGAGTGGTAATATCTGACAGCCTTTGATGGTAAAAGCCAGTTCCCATTTGGTTACGCCGCCCAAACTAAATTTCCACCTGGTTTCGCTATGCCAAGCATTTTTGTTATAATAACTGTTGTGCCAAGTCACGGTCATGTCAAAGTACCTGTGCGCCGAAAATCAGCACCTCGCACAACAGGTTATTACACAACAGCTGACCGCAAAAGCCCTTGGCGGCCAAACCGTGTGTTGGCCGACAACTTTGTTTTCTCGGCTTTGGAACCACCTTTCGTAAAGTTGTTTCAATTGGAAGTAGAGTCCACTAGTCCCTTCCTACCTCTAAAGTTTCCACCCCCCCCCCCCGACCAGTGGTATTCTTTTGACAGCCTTTTCATGGTCAAAACCGGTTCCCATTGAGTTACGCCGCCCAAACCAAATTTTCATCTGGTTTGCCTATAACACCTTTTTTTGTATAATAAGTGCGGTGTCATGTTACTGTCAAGTCCAAGCACCTGTGTGCCCAAATCTGCACTTTGCACAGCCCGCTATAACACAACATTTTGGGTTCAATATTGGATATACCGTACAGCTTTATTTTTTTATTCGTTAGAAACCTAACTTTCACACCTGCTGTCTTAATCAAACTTGGCACAGTTCGTGCACAAACTTAGTGAACATCTCACTCGCCTCCAATATCATCGTTCCAGCAGTCCTACGTTTACAGCGACGAGCAAAGTAAATTTCCCACTCAGAGCAATTATGGTGGCGGCCGTCTTTATTTATTATTTATTTATTTCAAAATACTATCAGTCTCTATTGAGACTATGATAGGGTGGGTATACAAGAGTTGGAGCGATTTTTCGGAAAATCGCTCCAACTCCTTTTTTGGCTGCAACTAGAGAATTTACCCCTAATAACGACTCAAACTCAATATATAAGAAGTGGAGAACAGCTAAATGCCT